ATACATATATACATATATATATATATATATCCCTGCTTCTGTCCATCTACATACAAGATGTTCCATAAACGTTTAGGACGATTCTTCCAACAACTTCTCGTGAGATGTTTTAACGATGCCTCCTTCAGTACGTCTTTAGTTGACAGTTTGAAATCTTTTAGAGTTTGTGGATGGCACAAAGTTTTTAAACGTTTCTCCAAAACGGGATATATCCGTCATAATTATGTGACCACATCCAAAAATTTCTTGATTGTGCTGCATTTTAATAAAGTTTAATATGTGGGAGATTAAAACTCCATTCTCTAGAGGAGCGTTTAGTTTGATAGTTTTATCCTAACATGTTAAAATGAGCAATAAAATTCAATATTAACTTATGTGTGTGTGTTTATACACTATTTATTTGTAAAGAGTGGGCTGGACACTTTATACTGGGAGAGGCTGATAAAGAAACTTTGGGAGGACACATCTAAAAGAGAGAAATTGCATTTCCAGTGAAAATGCAGTGTAGATGCTTTTTACCATACCATTTTATTTATAGAGCACTTAAAACAGCGACGAGGCCAACCAAAGTGCTGTACAGACAGAACAACAGGCAGCAAAAGAACTTGCTGAGAAACAGCTGAAATTAGCTAAAACATGCTGAAATGTAGCTGAAATCGAAGAACAAGCTTAAATTAGCAGAAGAAAGCAGAAACAACACAAGTTTGCCCAGTTAGGCTGAAAGAAGCAGAAACAGGCACAAAAAAAAGAAAATTATCTGAAATAAGCTGAAATAAGCAAAAACAGCTGAAAAGTAGCTAAAAAGCAGAAATAAGCTCAAAATACTAGAAATAAGTGGAAAAAGAACATGTTTGCTGATTTAGGCTGAAAAAGTTGGAATTAGTGGAAAAAGCTAAAATTAGCATAAAACAGTTACAAAGTAGCTGAAACAGCAGAAAAAGCTGAAACTTGCAAAAATAAAACCTAACGTGAAAATCCACTAGGAGTCTATTTAAAACATGAGGTAACGGAGTCATCGCCAGTTTACTTAGAGGCATAATTTCACTGTTTCCATAATTTATTTTATTCCCTGATAATTTATTAAACTATTCCGAAAGCAACATCCGGTGAGGTGAAATCTCATTTCCTTTTTAATCAAAACATGATTTAGGAATAAAACTAGGCGTTGACCGAGAGGAACCAGCAGGTCCAGATGAACACCATGAATCTCTTCTGATGTTCTGACTAACGTGAACATCGCCGTGGTTTTGGTTTCTTGACCGTCTTCGTTGGTTTTCTCACATAACTCGCCTTTAAATGTCAAACTGGAGCTTCGGCGTTCAGAATGTCTGATTCAGTTCAGAACCGGAATAAAACCATTTCCTGTTTGAAAGTTTTTTTTTAATAAAAACATTTCCTGTTTTTAAAGTTTTTTAATAAAACCATTTCCTGTTTGAAAGTTTGTTTTTTTTAATAAAACCATTTCCTGTTTTTAAAGTTTTTTAATAAAACCATTTACTGTTTGAAAGGTTTTTTTAAATAAAATCATTTCCTGTTTTTAAAGTTTTTTAATAAAACCATTTCCTGTTTGAA